AAAGAAAGAAAGAAAGAAAGAAAGAAAGAAAGAAAGAAAGAAAAGAAAAGAAAGAAAGGAAGGAAGGAAGGACGGAAGGAAGAAAAAAGGAAGGAAGGAAGGGAGAGAAAGAAAGAGAGAGAGAAAGAAAGAGAGAGAGAAAGAAAGAAAGAAGTGAGGGAGGGAGGAAAGAGGGAGGGAGGGAGGGAGAGAGGAGGGAAGGAAGGAAGGAAGGAAGGAAGGAAGGAAGGAAGGAAGGAAGGAAGGAAGGAAGGAAGGAAGGAAGGAGAGAAAGATACATATTTGGATCTCTGTCTCAGCTATTTTTTTTTTCTTATTCAACATACTTTTACTGGATTGGTTCCATCTATTTCTCTTTCATACCTCTCTCCTGAGTTCCAAAATCCTATACTCAGCTTCTCCTAGAACTTTTTCTTTGAATGCTGCTTAGCCACTGAATTCAAGTAAAACCCAAATGAGTTGCTTTACTCTTCCTACTCTGAATCCTATCTTTTGGTTAATGATGGCAGTTTTGACTAAGTAAGCTACCAAATCTCAAAAACTTGGAGGTAAGTCTTAATTCTTCCTTCTTCTTCACTCTTATCCTTCAAAAGATTGACTCTAATCAACTTCTACTTCAGAGTTTTGCTTGCAGCGATCCACTCCTCTCCATTCTCACCAAAATTGTCTTAATCCAGGAGGATTCTTTTTTTCCAAAAATTAGTTTTAGTAGTGCAATGACACAGCATAAAGCACTACACCATTTGACAGGACATCCTTTTATAGGTGAGCACCAGCATACAGTTAGAGAGCTTCCCCAATAATCCTTGTTACCAACAGCTGCTTAATCTCATTCTAAAGTAAAGTGTTCTTTCTACAGCATGCTGAACATTCACTTCAGCTTATTGTAGAAGGCTTTTCTAAATGGACCTCCTTCTTCTGGCGGGAAGGACATTTCATCTGAAAACCTATAAATGGGTCTGTGCTTGTCTGACAGTAACCAATACACTGGTCTCACATCTGTCCAGCAGCCATGGCACCAGATTTCCCGACCAGCCATGCACAGACCAACCCCACATCTGTCCAAAAGAGCATTCCTGGAAAGGCCCTGCACTCAAAACAAACCCCCACACTACTCAGGGAGGGGAACTGTTCCAGGATGAGAGGCTAAAAGAAATTGAACCTAAACTCTTCATCAGGAGTGCCCCGGTGTCCTGGCTCTGCCTGCAGACCCTTCGGCTCTTCTTTCTGGTGGCCTGGCACACAAGCTGTCCCTGCGCTATGCAGGCTGCAGCCCTGAGAACCCATAGGTTTTGTGCCTGCTCTGGCTTCTGTCTGATCCCTGCAGTCCCCAAACAAGGAGCGCATCAGCTGCCTCCTCCTGGCCAAGGTTGGGATTGCCCCAGTAGCCTACACTTTCTCTTTCGGACTGGGTCTCCGCATCTTGAGGCCCAACTCCAGCTGCTCCGCGAACCACACCAGTTCCCAAGCCAGCTGGTCCACCTGAGCCTCCGCGTTTAGAGGCGCATCTTCCAATGCCCGCCTTTCGGAGGCCTTCCAGCCTCCATTGGCCACAGAAGCCCTGTTCAGGGTTTTCTTCTTTTGCTTCTTAGGGGCTGCGTCACTTTTATTCTCTTGGACTATTTTAAAAAGTCATACCTAAATACCCCTCTATCCTCCAGTCCCTTATCTTTCCATCTATCACCGCCCTGTCAAAAAGAGTTAATTTCCAAATACGTAGATCTGCTTATGTCCATCTCGAACTTAAAAATTTTCAATTACTCTCAGTTGCCTGCAGGGTAAAGTTAAAATGTTATAAATGACCCTTTCTAAACAGCCCCTATTTCATTGGTCGCTTCTCTTCTCTTCCCCCTCCCCCAATCTGCACACCAACAGTACCAAGAACAATTACTTCCAAATCACATCTGACTGCTTGCTATTTCTATGGAATGCCTTCTCTTTCCCTATTTCTATCGTTTTATTTCAGTTGTTCCATCCACCTTAAATCCTTTTCCTCTCCTTCTCCATCAGTATACATTTGTTTCTTACTTATTTATCAAGGCCTAAATTAGAGTCAAGTCAGTCATGGAGCTTTCTCTTGCCCACCTGCCACATCAGTGCAGTTAATTATCCCCTCACCTCTTACTATGCTTTTGTGCATACCACTATGACACAGTTTATTACATTGTTTGAGTCAATTCTGTATATTTGGTTATATTTTATGTATTAATTTTACACGTCCTTGATCATCTTAAAGGCAGCATCCTGTATTCATCTTTGCATCCCCCAGATGTTCTGTAACACCTGACACAGAGATGCTCAAATCATAGTTGGGGTTTGGGACTAGTTATCTACATTTTGGCTTCCTTCTAAATAAAACTTGTAACTGCAGAATAAGTGCTTGCAGACAGATGTAAGAATGACTAGAAAATAATTTTAATTAAATGCTCTGTTATGAGAATGATCTTCAAATTCCTTTATGCTATGAATTCATCTTCTTTTCCTAAACCCTAACACCCCAGACCCAGAAAGCACTCTCCCTACTTCTTTTTAATCAAATATATTTTCTACAAGTAATGTTTCATGAACCTGATTTTGAAATGCAAACTTTACTTAATGAGCTTTGGATAATCTATAGTTTTGAATAACAAATTTCTGTAATTTTTAATGAGTTTCTCTGCTTTAGAATCATGCTTGTTACTTTTCAAAAGACCTCAGAGAAAAGGGATGACTTAGATTAGAGCTTCTTCTCAATTTAAAAAGGAAAGATAACAAGACAAGAACTCAGGGTCACTGAGAGATTAAAGCAAGTGTTCTTTGGCACATGTAAATGGAATGTATTTAAAAAGCTTTTCAGGATCTACCTGCAAGCAGATGGCTGTAAGGTATATAAAAGGGGGCATGAAATGTTCCCTGTATTCAGATTTATCTCTTCTAAAGGGAAATTGTCGGGAAAATGATGACAAAATAGTTTTGGATTTGCAATGCTATTCCTTACTTTATATGATGACTCAGCTTTTAAATTGTAAATCATGGCTTATAAACTTGTGCTTAATTTATCTGAAAATATGGGTAAATTCATGAATTTGAATCATCATACCAAACAGGAAATACAAATTTGTACATCTGGAGGAAATTATATTTTGGAAGAACAATTAACAGTAACATATTTTAACAGTATATTTTTTGTGAAAGTTTAGCTTCAACAACCCGCAAAAGTAGTAAATAATGAGAAAATAAAATTCATATGGATTTAGGCTTTGTGAATGATAGTGAATGTGTGACTGTGTGAAATAGACAAATGTAAACAGAAGATAGACATAGGTCTACAAATAAATAATATTTTGCACTTTTAAAGCAGTATAATGTTAAATGAGAAAATGAAGACTGGATGTCTAATAATCCAAAGTAAAGATACATTATTTCAAAGCATATATATACATATACATGCTGTGTACATATATGCATTTATATGAATGTATGTATTCAGACACCCACACAGGTTTCTGTGTATACAGCTTGTACTACTTAAAATGCATTTTTTTGAAAAGTGCCAGGGCACCAATATTGCACAGGTTGTGTTGGTTTGTTTCATGTTTTTGCAAAATTTTAATGTCAAGGAAACAAAATATTTTTTTTTTAAAGATTTTATTTATTTATTCATAAGAGACAGAGATAGAGAAGCAGAGGGAGAAGCAGGCTCTCCGCTGAGCAGGGAGCCCGATGCGGGACTCGATCCCAGGACCCCGGGATCATGACCTGAGCCGAAGGCAGACGCTTAACCATCTGAGCCACCCAGGTGCCCCAAGGAAACAAAATATTTTTTATCTCTAATACTTATTAGACATAATTTCCACATCATTTACTTTTGATCAGTGCTCTTCAGTTTCATCATAGATTCAAGGTTGTCCACATGAATAGCAAAGACAAGTCTTTGAAGGTAAATCCCAGCTCTGAAGTTTACTAGTATGAACTTGAGGAAGTTTTCAACTTTTCGGAATGTCATTTTTTCCCCAATATTAGTAAAAATGAAATAAGCAAACAATCTCTCTGGCATGCTATTGTGAGGATCAAACAAAATAAAATATAGGCAAAAGCTAGATTGTCAATAGAATTAGTTCCCTGCCTTCTACTCTTGGTGGTAACCTTCTGCTTTTGTTTTTGCAATCACATTCTTTTAAAGCATGTTAGTTCACTGAGGGAAAGTCCAATGTCAGGCTGTAGAAGTCCTAGAAATTACAAACTTACAAGTATGTTGTTATCATTTGTCTTCATGAATATAAGTTCCTAGAACATTCATGATGTTTCACTTTAACTTAAATTTATAATCTTGGTCCATGTCCTTCTCAAAGTCACTGATAACTGAATCCAATATCAAATATTATTTTATTACCATACCCGCTCTAGAGGAATGATCTACTGTTATTAAAAGATGAGTAGAAATTTAGACATTATTTCTACTATGATCATTTTATAGTGGTTTGAAACTCAGGGTTACCAAAAATTTATGAAAGTTTTTCCAGACCATCTATGTTCTATCATCCTCCATTTCTCCAATTACATATAGAAATAACACTTTTCATGGCCTGAATTTCTATGTTATAGAAAAGGATAATGGGAAAATGAATATCAATTACTAGTAATAAAGCCATTTTTTCATTGATTTGCAAATCCATATGCATTTATTTCATAAAAATTACGGGATTCAATTCAGAGTTCCATCTGTCCCCCTTTTGAAGTCAGAAAACCATGCTCTAAATTAGTATCTATTTCTTACCTAAGTGGCTTACAAATCCTGATTCATTCTAAAATCTGTGGAGTAAATAAAGACAAGTTGTACTGACATAGCATTTCTTTAGCTCGATTCCTTGCTAATTTAATTTCATGCAATTTAATACATTCTAATTGAGTTTATTCTAACCTACATGGACCTAAAAGATTTGGTGAAGTGAGGAGGGGTGTCACAGCTTTGTTTCAAGCGTCTTCTACACGTGATGGTATAAATGGCAGGCAGTACTCACGGCTGACATGATGAGCTCTCCTCCCAGGTTCTGTATCTCAGCTTTAACTTGACTGCAGATTTTCAGTTGGTGAGAGTAAAACTTAATCTGTTCCAGATAGGCCAATAAATCTTGTTTGCATGATGGATCTGGACACTAAATAGGCATAAAAGATAAAAGTGGAAATAGCAAAATAACTTATAAGTAGATCAGAATGCTTTAATACCAACATTGGAGGTACCTATAAGGGAGCAACTTTATTGTCATGGAGCCCCATTTCTCACCCCAAGCCCATGTAGATTCTCATATGCTTCCACCATTAGAAGAGTTTATTCACGTTTCAACCATAATTACTTCAGCATAGACAATAGAAATAGCAAAGGAATTTTCAGACATGAAAAGGTACATAAAATAATTGCCTTTAATTTATGAAAAGGTTAGGAGGCTTCAGATTGCATTTTTAGGTAAATCTAAATAAATATTTTAAATGCAATTATTTCCTTCACTTAGAGTTGCTATTAGAAAACTCCTTGGGACTCATAGTTCGGCATTGTCTGTCCTTTCTTATTTATCTGGGCAAAAAAACATCTGCAACAAATCATACATTATCTTCTATTACTTCCAGCATTACACATCCTTAGCTATTACAGACAAAAGAAATCATTTGCACCTTAGATAACAGCCATGGAATCTATGTGGAGATGAGAAATAAACAACATACATGTTTTAGAGATGTATTAAACTTCTTTACCAAAAACAGTCTCCTACACTGTAATGTCATCTGCAAGGAACTTCTTGGGAGGACAGCTTTGAGCTTCAACATACCATGGTAAGTATCTGTGGTTAGGGTTAACTCTGTGTTCTTTCTTCTATGCAATTATAATAGAATTTTTTTAATCCCTGATAACTTACTTGCACTTTAAATACATTTTCATAAGGATGTGAAAATATGGACTATAATTTATATGCAAAGATATTAATTACACCATTATTTATAAAAGCAATATTTGGAAATAACTTAAATGTCCCCAAATAGTGGAAAGATTAAGTTAGAATGCATATCTATATAATGTGATATTAGTCTCAAGAAAATATGCTCAAAGGAGGTGGAAAAATAGTTTTAGAAAGTGGAAAAAACAGTATTTGAAATTTATATGCTATCTTAATCAAATTGCTAATCGATGTGTGGTTGTATTTGTGTTTACAACATACTGGGAAATATATGAAATAAACAAGCATGATACAATCAATAATTTTCTTCCTCTTTTACATTTCTTAAAATAGATATATATATAATTTCCATAATTATAAAAATGTTGTCAAAAAAGCTTTAATTCTAATGACCTAAAATGTAAATTGAGAAGACGATGAAAGACTGGGGTGCCTGGGTAGCTCAGTTGGTTAAGCAACCAAACTCTTGATTTCAGCTCAGATCATGATCTTGGAGTCATGAGATTGAGCCCCATATCTGGCTCCCTGCTCAAGTCTCTCCCTCTCCCTCTACTCCTTCCCTGCTAAAATCAATAAATAAATCTTCAAAAAAAAAAAAAGGAAAGTATGATGAAAGACCAAAAAACATTCTGTGCAATTCTTATTTTACCTAGTAATTCATAAATTGGAATGTTATTGAAAAATTCCAGAGAATCTTATTCTCTCTCATGTTTGCTAAATAGACTAGACTAGTCATAGCTATAGAATGTGTAGACATGATGAGAACATACTACCCTTGAGTCAAAGTTAATCAGAAAAGGTAGCAAAGAAATTTCTTTGCTTAATTAATTCTTAATTAATTCTTTCTTTTCTTAGTTAATTCTGCAGAAATACTATCACAGCCTGGACATATAAATGAATAGACAGATATATGTAACCAGTCAGATAATGAGCTAAGAGGATAGTGAGACCTTGACATTGAAGATGTTTCTCAAATTTTAAACAAGGAAGTAAGGGTAATTCCCCAAATCTCAAGAAGATTAAACTGTAACTAAGGAGAAGGAAGAAAAGAAGGACAAAGAGAAAGAAACAGGGAAAGAGAGGAAGGAGGAAGAAGAAAAAAGAAGGAAGGGATTTCCCCCAATTTATAGATGAGAAATCAGAAATTTTGAAAGCATAATAATTTCTCCAAGATTGAAGAGCATATGTTAGAGCCAGATTTTGAACCCATATCTATTTGCTTTTAAATCTATTTTATTTTAAATCACTAACTTAAGAGAATTTGATAAGTGTTTTTTAAAATCACAGAATACTGTGAGCAGCAGAGTTTCAAGGAAATAGAGAATTCATGGGAACACTGTCTCCAGCACTGTTCTGAAGTAGAGAGTACTTAGATTTTTTCAAAGACCAAAAACTAGTTATTTAGAATTACCTATAATGATGCAAGGCAAGGCATCTCATTGTTTTGTCATGACAAGAAGTTGATCTTTACTAAGAACTTCCCAAGTGCCAAGCATTGTGCCATGTCCTTTATGTGAATAATTCTAAGTTAGTATTCCACCATGCCATTTTACTTGAGTTTATATTGTTATTTTGCACATTTGCAAACTGAGTCTAGATAAAGTATATGATTTGTCTTAAAGATCTGATTTTACTTTTCTCTGTTTCATTCACTGCACAATGATGTCTCCTTTAAGACATTTATTCAAAATGCCATTTTCTCTTTTTTTTAAAGATTTTATTTATTTATTTGAGAGAGAGAGAATGAGAGAGAGAGAGAGCACATGAGAGGGGGGAGGGTCAGAGGGAGAAGCAGACTCCCCCCCGAGCAGGAAGCCCAATGCGGGACTCAATCCCGGGACTCCAGGATCATGACCTGAGCCGAAGGCAGCCGCCCAACCAACTGAGCCACCCAGGCGCCCAAAAATGCCACTTTCTTTGTCCTCGCTGAATAATGGTCATATCTATTATTTGTTCCTATGGATGAACGCAATGATAATCCCTGACACAGATAGTGTTTTATCTGTCATATACTATTCTCTTATATTAACTCTTTTACTAATCACCAACTCCAGGTGGTAGGTTCTATGATTATTTAGCAAAGGAGGAAACTGAAGCACAGAGAAGTTAACTGACTCATCCAGTTAATAAATGGTAGAGCTGTGTTCCAACTCACATGATCTGACTACACATCCCTACCTTCACAGTCTAGGCACAATATCAGTCTTCCTGCCAGTCTTATCATATATAATAAACAATAAATTGCCACTCTGATTTGTAAATTGGTTTCTTAAATTCATACTCTTATTTGTAAATTTTAAGTAGGAAAGTGTGGATTTGTTCCTTAAAGACCAGCACAACTATACATTTATGATAAAATAGAACTTGCAAAGTAATAATTAGGTTCTTAAAGATTTATTCATTTATTCAAGAGAGAGACAGAGAGAGTGAGCGTGAGCTGGTGGGGGTGGGGGCAGAGGGAGAGGGAGAGAGAATCTCAAGCAAGACTCCCACTGAGCACAGAGCCTGAGGCAGAGCTCAATCCCACAACCCTGAGATCATGACCTAAGCCAAAATCAAGAGTCAGAAGCTTAACCGACTGAACCACCCAGGCACCCCTAATCATTAGATTCTTGACCAATAACCAATGTTGCAATTACCTAAGGTTAAGCAAAACATATAGTTTCTCTCAAGAGACTCTTCAAGGCCATACTACAATTGTCTAAAATTATCTAATTCTGCTAAGGAAACAATGAGTAAATGAGTACAAAATTTGAAGCTCAACTTTTGAAATTCAAAGTTGTTTGACCCAGATTCACCCTTTTTTTCCAGAATTGATGAGAATTCTTTGTTACCCCTGAATACCATAGCCAGTTTTATAGGTGAAGTAGAAAAACATACTAATTGGTAAATTCCATGCTATAAAATTTATTAAAGCCTTCTTTCCTTTGACATTTGGAAAGCCTTCTGAGTCAATTTTGGCTGCATAATAGCAGAATCAGGAGAATGAATCATTCCCACTTTAAGAATCCTCATCTATTATTTGCCAAACCCCCCTTACAAAATCAAATAATGTTCTCCCTACCTTTTATATTTTTACAAAAGGGTGATAGAAAAAGTTTGGGCCCTAAATTTTAGAACATTATGCCCTTGACTTTTTTTTAAAATAAAATTTGCATAAAAATAACTTTTAGGGTGCCTGGGTGGCTCAGTTGATTAAGCATCAATTCTTGATTTTGGCTCATGTCGTGATCTCAGGGGTCCTGGGATCGAGCCCTGTGTAGCTGTGCTCAGCGGGGAATCTGCTTGAGATTCTCTCCTTCCCCCCCGCCCCTCCTCTTGCTCACCTGTGATATCTCTCTCTCTCAAATAAATAAATAAATCTTAAAAAAAAAAATTAAAAGAACACTGCTAGGGACTTTTAGGCAAATCAAGTGGTAGAATATCATAACACACATTGGTTACTACTTCCCAGCTTATTAAGACAGGAGATGTTGACCAGGACATCTGGTTAGCTTTTTAATGCATAGATTTTTTTTTTTAAGTTTTTTAACCCCCAGGACACTCACTACAGGAAAGCAGAAGGCATGTCAGCCTAGGTGGTTTTCTCACATTAAACCAGCCTTCACTCTTGTAACAAGATGCTTGGTACCAACACAGAATACATCATTTCATAATGAAAGCAAAAGTAAAAAACATTTAATACCTTCAAGTCTGAATTTTAAGAGTGAATTAGCAAAGTGAATACTTTTAAAGATCTTTATTCCATAAGCTTCACAATTTTTTCACCCATACTAGAGTATACACTTTATTTAAGACACATTTAAAATGATTTTGCAATTATAGACAGCAGTTAAAATTCTGCTACGCTGGCAAAGTTTGTTAATAAAAAGTAGTAGGTGTCACTGTGAATTTCTAGAACAGAAATTTCAAGCAATCAGTGATAGCAAAGGGCTTGAGTCCATGACCTTTCCCTTCCCTCGGGGTTCATTTCTCCACTTTCTACTCCAGCTCAGAGGCTGTCTCATTTCATCTTCTTTGGGATCATAGATTACCAACGATCCCATCTTTTTCTGCAGTTTTAATGTCTCCTTTTTCTATTAATCTTTCAACATGATGTCCCTTGGAACAAAAACCCTCCCTCAACCTTATAATCTCATCTCTCTTCCTGTTCATGACCATGAGTTCTAAAAATTTTTCAATGTTGCCTCATTGACATTCTCAGT